GTAAGAATGGCCGTCATTAATAAAACAAACAACAACAGATGTTGGCAAGGATGCGGAGAAAAAGGAACCTTTCTACACTGCTGGTGGGAATGCAAGCTAGTGCAACCTCTTTGGAAGACAGCGTGACTATTTCTGAGAGAACTAGAAATTGTGACCCAGCAATTTCTGTATTGGGAATAAACCCAGAGGAACTCAAATCATTCTACAAAAAAGACACCTACACACATATGTTTGTTGCAGCTCTATTCACAATAACAAAAACATCAAACCAACCATGTTGCCCATCGAAACTGGACTGGATAAAAAAATGTGGTACCGTATACACAATGGAATATTATGCAGCCATAAAGAAGGACAAACATATGGACTTTGCAGCAACTTGGATGGATTTAGAATCGATCATACTCAGTGATCAATCATTGAAACAAAGAACAGAGTACCATATGTTCTCACTCATAAGTGCACCCTGAGCAATTATACTACAATAAGAAAGGGATTGGCAGTAGTGGGAAATTGTCAGGGGAGAGGGGTCAGATTGGCAGTTGAGGGAAACTGCTAGGGGAAGGAGGGACATACCTCATCGACAAGGGTACCTGCATAATCAGTATTTGTATACCTAACCCTGAATTGCATCACACATCTTTATAATAAATAAATGAACAAAATATATGTGAAATCCAGGTGAGGCACAGTTTATTAAGTAGGATACAAAATAAATTTTTCTTAAAGATAAAAAAATGTGTATTTATTCTTACATGTTTAACATCAGTTATCTTCAAAGTACTCTCCCTTTGATGCAATACACCTATCGGGATGCTTTTCCACTGCTCAAAAGTTTCAAACTCATCAATCTTGATGCCTTTTAGTGCTTCTGCCTGTTGTTTTGTTTTTGTTTTGGGGTGTTTTTGTTTTGTTTGTTTTTTTATTTTGCCCCTACATGGGCAAAATACTTCCCTTTAAGGTCTTTTTTATCCATGGAAACAAACAAACAAAAGAGTTACTCAGTGCAAGATCAGGTGAATAGGGAGGGTGGGGCACAGGGGTCATGCCATTTTTTATTAGAACTGCTAAACACTCAGCACAATGTGGGCAGGTACACAGTACACTCAAAAATCACTCATCATGAAATAGGCAATCACACTGAAAGACTCTCCCCCCCAAAAATTAACTGAAGCCAAACACAGTATCTCACAATAACACTGGCTGGTACACAGATGCCAATAGGTTCCTAGTACACTTACCTAACATGGGAAACCTATACTACAAACCCTTCAAAAAATAATTCCATTTTTTTTGGTTCCCCATCATACATGTGTGTACACAAACACACACACACACGCACACATACACACATCCTAGTGGTTCTGTCCTTTGACTAATAACAGGTTTAACACTTGATGCCAAATGGTTGATTGGCCACTATTCACCAAGCACCCACTAGGCCTGCGACTCCAGGGTCTGCCTGCTTCTTGCTGAATCTCAGGTGTCCCTGAAAGTCACTGGGAGGTCCCTTGGGAAGCCAAACCTCAGGTCACGAGACACCATCAAGGCCTCATCTGTGATACTTGGATACTTGGCAGAGGAGGACTATCCCACGTTGTCCCTAAACCCTGAGCCTTTCCCTCTAAGCTGTGCTCCTTGACTGCTCTGGACACTGTGTTTCAGGCACTCCAGACTCTGCAGCTGAATCTGCTCCCTGAGGTACATGGACGCAGTGTGCAACGGCTGCCTTCCCTTGGGTTCAGTCAGCCAGAACTGACAACATGTTCCCAAACGCACTGAAGTTCCAAGCGGTCAATGCAATTCCTACCCCAGGCCTCCAGTGTATTCAGCGCTAAGGGCTAGATAACCCAGGAGGACATGACCAGAACATTCCCCAGGTATCGCCACTCTCTGACCATCCTCTCGACTTTTCCCTTCTAGTTTATTTGGCCAGGGGTTTAAGAGTCTTTGACCTTCCCTGATTTTGCCGCCAACCCTCTAGGGCTGGAGAGCTCCCCACCTGGGGCCACTGAAAGAAGCATGGGGGAAGGGGGTGGGAAGCGGCAAGTCAACCAGCAACCTCCAGAGTCTTTTACTGGAGATGAAGCCTGACACTGAAGACAGGCAAGAGCTGATGTCACAAGAGTTCTCATTTCTCTATACTTTGGCTCCTAGGACTCAATGCCATGTACCGGTAAAATACTTTCTGCTGCACTTAGCTCATATTTCATGAAAACGTGGGGAAGACGCAGGTCGGTCTCCATATGTAGATACTGTCATTAATCAAATGAATCACTCCTGCAGGTGCCTGGGGAAAGCTGGGGCCAGCTGACATCTTTATGATGATTATATAGTCTTTGTGTCTCAGGCAGCTTAAAATAGCTAAGATGAAAAATTTCAACTGGAATACACTTTTCTGCATAGAGAAAAAATAGTGCCTATTCAACCTCTTCTGAACTGGCTCAGTGTGACTCTTTCCTTTGAATATGCTTTTTTGTGGCTGTTTTTCATCAGTAAAGCTAGACCAGAGACCAACTACTCAGTTGGTTCAATTGACTGATTTCCTACACAAAGTTTGATTGATCATTCAACAAACTGAAAACAAAAATAATAAGATGCTTATGTTGTCTCCCTCAACATCCCAAAATATCCTTGCTAAGTAATTGTTTTCATCTGTCATTCCTAAAATAAGGAGCATCTAAACTGCCTCTGGTGGGTCAATGTCAGCAGCTTAAAATCTAAAAAGTCAGCTCTGAGTATTGTCAGGTAGTTGAAGTTTCTGTGATTTAACAAATGGGATCTCAAGGCTTGGTTCTGGCTTGTGAAGCCATTAGGCACAGCTGGTCCAGATACACAGAAGCAACGCTTTAGGGTGGGGACGAGTTTTGCACCATGTTCTCTTGGGTGCTCAACGTTCGGCCCTTGAAGAACTCCCACAACTGGGAAAAGTGGATTGCGAATTTCTGGCAGCTGGTATGGATGGCTAGTTAACTCTGTTAAGGCATCAGTTGCTTGAGCCCCAGGTGTATCTTGGCCTCCCTGAGGATGGGAGCACTCCCTATCACCTCTGCTTTGCCCTTGACCTGTACTGTCCTTGAGGGCAGCAGACAGCCCTGGACCCTTGGTGTTGTCCAAGAATGTCACCTGAGCAGGGCTGCTTGGCTTGAGGGTCCTCAACACAGTCTTTCTGTATACTTAATACCAGGACCCTTTTCCTATGGTGCTTTGGGTTTGAAACTCACACTGGATCTCACCACCTGGATCCTATCCCCTGCTCCATTTCTTGCGGCCTATGTGGACTTGGGCCAGTGCCCTCATACCTCCAAACCTCACAGTCCCCATTATAGAATGCAGATTAAAATACATAGCCATTTTCCATTTTCTATAATTCCCCAATGCAAAAGAGAATTTCTTCAGGCATCTGGCAGCAAAACGTGACCTGACTCAGTTTTTGCTATGGAACCTGACCAGAACTTCTAGAACATCAGCATCTATACTTTGTCCACATTTCAGGATAGCATCACCCAAGAGGTTGGTTGTGGAGGGCAGCCCCAGACCCCGTGGGGGTGTTATATGATATACAGTACAGGTCCTATATTATCCTTCTACAATCTGAAAAATGCAGGCTTCTAAAATGCTTCTCTATCTCCAAAGGTTTTATATAGATAAATGTGGAATGTGGAACCTAGTTAAATGCTCTTTGTGAGAACCAAATGGAAGACTTCTTGTCTAAAATATTTAATACAGTGTCTGGAACATAGTGACTAGTCTAAAAATACTAAAGGATACCAATGGCTATGACTAACTTTATGTAAACTGGTGCATAATCCTCTCATAGTTGCCGCATTAGCAATGGGCAGTCAGTGAACTCACTCAACTAATGTAGGCCAGACACCCAACATTGCCTTTCTCAGGCCTCAAAGGCTCTAAGGATATGAGTGCTGGTTCCATCAGAGCTGGGACTGCTTGGGTTCCTACGGTAAATTCATGCTTTCTCACAAAACTGACACAGAATAGGTACTCAGCAAGGATTATTAAATAGATAGATAAAGGAACTGACAGGTGGCTGACTAAACTGATAGACTGTAACAGATAGTAAGTTCCTAATCAAGTAGTTGGTCATGGTGAGCACATTCCTAAACCATACATGTGAAGTTTCTGGTTCCATGTGAACACAAGAGAGGTCAAAGCCTCTTGGACTAAGCTCTCTAGGAACACCTTGTGGAATGGGTTATGGGAGGAATGAGTATCTGTCAGTCACCAGTCGCACGCATGGAAATGAGAGTCTTGGTGTCAAAACTGGCTCAGATTTTCCAAGGTGGACACGGTTGTTCATTGGTCACTGGCCTGTCAGCCTCTCCATCCAGATATGTTTGCAACACAGACAAGTACTTCATGGCTTCATGTAAGGCACAGACTGCAAAGACCTAATTTGTCATGAACTTGAACCAGGGATTGTGGTATTTGACATTCAAGGTGGCAGAAAGTTTGAGAAATTATTCTAGTGATATAGGTATAAAACCTTATGCCTCATTGCAATTTAGTCATTTCTGTGAGCTAGAGATTGGAGGCTAGCTGCCATGGATTTGTACTAAAAATATAATCAAATTACTTGAATTCTATTTTACTCATGGAAAAATTCAACTATCGTGACTATTAAGATCCCTAGTTTATAACGCTTAGCATCCATTAGAATCACCTGAAAGGCTGATTAAACCACAGATTGCTGGGCTCCCCTCAGAGTGGTTCTGATTCTGTAGATCAAAGTGGGGCCTGGAAATCTGCATTTCCATTAAATTCCCAGGCAGTGCTGGGGATGGAGTCTAGGGTCCCCATTTTGAGAACCACTGAGCCACATGTCAAATACTGCGTGTTAGCAATTATACCAAGATGTTTGGGCTCCAGGAGTTTCTTCATTGTTGGATGACATTCTTGGATGACAGCAGAAACATTACAGAAAACATACAAAAAGAAAAGTGAACTGGATCATCAGAAATTAGTGAAAAGGAAGAACGTACCTCCACACCTCTTCTCTTCCACACTACTGGATCTCGCCACAGACACTTCTGGAAAAACAAAAGTCCAATCACAACAGGTAAAGGGCGTGGGGGAGGAAGCTCACATTCATGCTTCATTTGCAAAACGTCTAATGAGTCTGAATTTTATGTGAGGCAAAGTTTCAAAAGTCTGATTAGTTATAAAAAAAAATTATATCGGTTTCCTTGTTTGTTTGTTTTAACCAAACTGTGATGGACTTGGTCAAGTGACCTTGACTGGGAAGGAGTGAGATTCATTACCACAGCCAGAAAATGCTATGACTTCTTGGGCTGAAAGCAGGGTATGGGCTGACTTCTGGGACAATGTGTCCTGCCATCCTCCCCACTGTCCCCCAGTGTGTGACTGTGGTGTTCCTGCCTAGATATTTTGTTTCATCAAAGCCAGTGTTGTCATAGTCCCTGCAGAGGGCAGACCAATTCACCAGCACACATAAATTCCTATTCAAGAGGCCATTCATGCTCTTTGCTATGCCACACATGAAATCCACAGTGAGATGCAGTGAGAGGCCTGGTCTCCTAAGTGTCTTAACCCCTGAGGATAAAACACCATTTCAAGAGTCTAGAAATGTCATTCTCACCTGCATTGGTTTTTCATTATATAACAAGAATTAAAAGTAGGCCTATGGTTAAAAAGAAAAACAGTAGTAACATTCTTACAGTTCTACACCATACATGATTAAAGTGTGGTATCATAATTTTCTCTAAAATATCATTATCTTTTTTATAAATGGAGAAAAGCAAAGAAAAATTGGCCTGTGGAATTGAATCCTATTGTTTCTTTGTAATAGGTTGGTCTTTGCTTTGGTCCACATCATAGTCCCAAGACACACAGCAGGCATATGCTGAGTTGTTTATATCCTTCTGGTGACCATGTGACAGGTGACTAGCTATCACAAATAACTAAACACTGACTTCACATTGAAAAGCCTTTGACAAGAGGGCCAACCACCCTGTTCTACAAGATGAGAACGCTGATGGGTTTCCATTTTTTAAAAATATATTAAAGATTTCCTAAAGAGAATGGCAATTTTTATATTCAAACACACTTACACAGCATTACCAAATCCTTTAAGTCTAATGTTAAAATAACGTATTTTCATTTTTTGAGCAAAATCTTCAGACTATATTATAGTAAATAAATTAAAGACAACATTGTGCCTAAAAACTCAAAACTCATGAACTGAATCCAAGTCTAAATCTGCAGTTATCCATAAACTTACACGAGTTGATAGAACTGTCTCTATTTCGCCCAGTAGGGCCTCAAAGACCAGATAAAATTTCAACGTATAATTTGTTTTCTCTTTTAATGTTGGAAATGATTTTGTTCACACTGATAACTAGCTCTGCGCTTACCTGGGATGAAATTCGAGTCAAAAACACATGACCGGCTCTCTGTGGTATTCCCAGAACACTGGCTGCCCACGGGGAAGAGAAGAATACACTGGCGGGTGCGGATCTGGACGCCAGAGGCTTCACACTCAGACCAGTCTGACCACTCAGACCAGCTCTCTGCAGTGAGTAGAAGGAGGGAGATGGGACAAAGTCAGCCACAAAGATAAATCATTCTAGAAGAACTGTCAGGTCATGCATTATGTTACGTTTTTGTAAGTGTACTTTCATTGGTTCTGTGCACAGTCGTATCTTCTAATCAATCCAGTAAATTAAATACACACGAGGATAAAAAAAGCACCTGTGCCAGGGTATCTCTGATTAGATATAGTGTGCTTAAAATAAGCTTTCTAAAACCCACCTTATTTTAATGTTATCAAGTAAGTGAATTACATGCTCAATTAATTCATGACACCAAGCTGTGTCCAGACCCTAGCAGAGGTGAGACAGAAACCATCTATGCAGACGTTATTACCGACAGGGTAAGGCTCTCCTGCAAAGAGCAATCCTCAAATATTCCCTCAAACATTCCTGAAAATTTCCCACAGGCCTCTGTGCTTGGGCAAGAGAAATAACCTTGTGTTGTTGGAACAGCCCAGGTTGCCAGAAGGGAGCCTGAAGCTACCATACATACTTTCTCTTCCACTATGAAAACAATTCTGCAGCGTCAACATAACAAAGTCAGGCTTCCCTTGAGGTGGTATTCATTTTAACCCATGGTTCCTGTCCCTGAACAGAATAAAGTCAATGCACAAGTCTCAGATTAAGGCCAAAAGATGAGCACTGAAAGGATACTCCACTCTGAAGTGGAAGATGTGCTAGGATTTGTTAAATTCACCCAGTTGTATAAATATGTGAAAAGAGGGACCTAACGCTTATGTTAAAGTAAGAAGATTAAAAAAGTGAATTCTCAATATCTTTACAAAATGTTAATAAACACAAAAATGTGTTTTTATATCCAATTTCCTTTTTTTCCCCTTTTAAATTTAAGCATCAACTTAAAATTTGGAAATAAGACTCATGCCTTGAGCCAGGTGAAAGGTATAATACTACCTTAACAATGTGTAAAGTGCCGGTTTTTAAAATGACTGTGAGAATCTGATGATGTCAAAGCCCTTTTCACTATAAATGGAACATTCTAGAAAGATTGGAAGGCGTAAGCTAAAAAGAGTATATGTTTTGATGTCTAAGTTAGACCCAGAAAAGAGTGGCTCATTTTCATTCAAGGCGGTTCCTACACGACAGAAAACCCAGCTGCTTCTCGGATGGGGCAAGCTGCTGGGACACCCAGGGTCCTGAGGCCAGTACCTGGGAAATGCACCTCACAAGGACACGTCCTGCTCCCCACCTGGATTTCTAATAGCAAGGTCTCAGACCCTGTTGTTTTTTATTAGGTTATGTATTTCAAGAATGTCCATCTTCTCTCCCTCCCTTTCCTTCCCTCTCTTTCTCCCTCCCTCCCTCTTTCCTTCCTTCCTTCTCTTTCTTTCCTTCCTTCCTTCCTTCTTTCCTTCCTTCCTTTCTTTTACTTTCTTGCTTTATATCTCTTTCTTTCTCTCCTTCTTTCAGGGGTCTTACTCTGTTGCCCAGGCTGGAGTGCAGTGGCACAATCCTGGTTCACTGCAGCCTTGACCTTCCTGGACTCGGGCAACCCTTCCACCTCAGCCTCCCGAGTAGCTGGGACTACAGGTGCATGCTACCACACCTGGCTAATTATTTAAAATTCTTTTTGTAGAAATGAGGTCTTGCTATGTTGCCCAGGCTGGTCTCACATCCATGGGCTCAAGCAATCCTCCAGTTTCAGCCTCCCAAAGTGCTGGGATTACAGGCATGAGCTACTGTGCCTGGCCTTCAAGAATCTTTTCTGATAATCAGCTTCTATTGTTTGCTTTGCATGGATCTCCTATTTACTGATTTGATATTTAATTGCACTGCCTTTCTCTAATTGCACTCCCTCTGGATTATAGTCCATTGATCCTGGCTGAAGCCTTCCCCAAGAGTGCCAGGTGTCCCTTGGTAAATTTTAGAAGTCATTTCTAGAATGCAAATCTTGGGAAAACATTTGGCTGTACCCAGGTAGGTTGTGGGTCAAAGGGCTGTAGACGATTCCATTTCTCAGACTCCCAGAGTCGGGGACAGCTCTACAAATTGCTCTTTTCTTCCCATCTTTCCTCTGACTTTTTGTCTTCCTCAGCACAGCAAGGTGCTGCCTGTGAGTCATCGGTGGGTTAATTAGGTAGGCCACATTGGGATATTTCCTAACAGGGAGTTTTGGTATCATAATACAATGTATAGACTCCCACTGCTGTGATAAGGGCTTCGGAGGCTAGTTCTAAAGCCACAGTATGGTGAGAACTGTTTTATTGTAGAACGATGTGTTCTGTAGTCACTTCAAGGGTAACAGTGTGGCACTGACTTGTCCCCCAAGCCCCTTTCAGTACTCCCTATGATGTGGTATCATTGACTTCACCATTTATAAATCAAGGAAATAAGCCACTTTGTCCCGAAGCCATGCCATGAGCGCCGTGCTGTGTACCTGGGCAGGGCTGTGTGTTGCAGAGCGCCTCTTCCGTGTGCAGCCCCAGGCAGATGTCCCCTCCATAGGCCGGGGCTGGATTTGTGCAGGAGCGGGTCCTCATATAGTGTCCACCGCCACACGTGGCTGAGCATTTTGACCAGGGAGACCAGCAAGACCACACGCCATCCACTAGGAAGGGACACAAAGTCATATCACTTCTGAAATCCAAATCCAACTCCTCTGATGTAGCTACAGATGGAATCTGCATTGCAAGAATGCATTGGTACATGGGTGCACACAGGAGCATGGCTTTTGATGGCATCTGGGGGCTTCCACTTGGTGAACACCCCAGTTGTGAAAATTCCTCCCTACATTTTTTCAGTTTCCCTTATTAATTCTTTCAGGGGAAAAAAAATTCTAAACATATAATATCTAAGTACAAAGATGACAGGAGAGTGCAATGTGTGTCCTACAAAATTCCAGACCCCAAGAACGACCATGCACCACAGTGGGGTTATTAATGGGAAGCTCCCAACCAGCTCTTACCTTCACCATCTGCACCACCTAGTGAGCCAGATGAGACTTAGAGCCAAGGATAAGTATTTAAAGTCACAGGATTCCTTACTAATTGGAATATGGTTTGCTCCTTGACAGTGGGATAAAGAAAGGCTAACATGTCCCATGAGAAAAATAAGTGTGAGCAATGCTCGGTGAATTCAGGCACTAAACGACCATACTAAGTACAACACACAGATTTGACATTGCGTTTAATGACTACAGAGAGGGATTTGAAAATCTGCAGCCAGACCTGGGGTTAGATGTGAAAGGTGCAGTTTTACAATGTGAACGTTTGGCAGAACTGATTTCTTGACTAATCATTTCCATGATGGCTCAAAACTGAGAGTACATATCTGCTTGCTCAGGTGTCCTAAATTCCCTAGGCTGGCCTCCTCATATCTGTGACCTGCCTGATGAATGCCTGAGTTCCACCATGATATGGGGGACCTCAAGGCTCAGTCTTGCCTTATCTGACTTTGCTAACACTGAGAATTCACTTGGGCTTGGGTTTGTGATACTGTCAAACATGATCAGTTGTTTAACAAACTCCTGACCAAGCCTCCCTCTTGCTTGCCAGTTCTAACCTATTGTTATTCCAGAGCAAAGCTCCAGAATTGGTCAAACAAGAGATTAGATCCTAATTAGGGGGCAAAACCCAGTTATAACCTTGGCTAACTCAATTAAAAAACCGAGGAGATGCACACAGTATCATTTTATTTTCTATTTTCTGTTTCTACATAAAGAAACAGAACCTTTTCTCATGTATCTGTTGGCTGCTCATATGTCTTCTTTTGAGAACTGTCTATTCATATATTATGCCCACTTTGTAATGGGGTTGTTTGTTTTTTTCTTTTTGGCATGTTTGAGTTCCTTGTAGATTCTAGACATTAGGTCTTTGTCAGACATACAGTTGGCAAATATTTATGACCCCACAATCCCTTCTGGAACATACCCAGAAGAACTCAGATCATTCTCTAAAGATACCTGCACATGTATGTTTATTGTAGCACTGTTCACAGTAGGAAGAACATGGAACCAACCATGCTGCCCATCAAAAGAAGACTGGGTAAATAAAACGTGGTACATATACACAATGGAATATTAAACAGCCATAAAGAAGATAAAAATCATGAACTTCACAGCAACCTGGATGGACTTCAAGTCTATAATACTGAGTGATCTTTCACAGAAACAAAGAACTGAGTATCACATGTTCTCACTCATAAGGAGACCTTGAACAATTATCATAATACTATAAGAAAAGGATTGGCAGTAGTGGGAATCTGCCTGCGGAAGGGGGGGCACACCTCATCAACAAGGGTACCTGTATAATGAACATTTGTATACCTAACCCCGAATTGTACCCCACATCACTAAAAAAAAAAAGAGGGGAGTTCAGAAAAAAAGAAACAGAACCAGTCATGACAGGGAATGACAAAATCATTCAGGACACAAGGCTATTTTAGATAGAATAACTGATTCCGGCAAGATGGCAATGGGGCAATCTGTCTATGAAACCCTCTGCAAAGGAGAACGCAGAGGGTCTCTGGCTCTCTCCCTGGGGGCTGTGGACCCCAGTGTCAGCAGCCTGCTGTTCACATGGAGCTCAGCTGTCGCCAACGCTGGGGCATTGCAGCAGTCTGGACAGTCATGCAGTCACAGACACAGCAGCCACCGGCACTGCCGCAGCCTCCATGGTGGCCATAGCGCATCGTGCCACTCATGCCTGAAGCAATCCATGACTTCAGTTCTTGAAGCCCCTGCAGGCAAGATCTGCTGGGATCACTGCCACCTCTGCTGCCACCATGACATCCTGCTGGCTGTGGGTCTCCTCCCGTGTGCCCTGAGGCAGGCTCCCATCTCCCGCCTCTGCCCAACTCCTGTCCGGCTCCACCCCCTCTGGAGTGAGCAGCTGAGATAGCACCACCTGCTGGCGATTCAAGGGAGTAAACCTACAGCCCCACGGCACGGACAGATTCCAAAGCACTGGGAAGTGGGTTTCAGATTATCCATACACCTGTTGGCGAATACCAGGACCTGCAAATAAATTTTGAATCACAGCTCTGCCCTTAAGTAAACCTCAAAACTGCAAAAAGGACCACCCCCAACCTACAGTGCAACTCCAGAATTGAGCAAAGTAAGAGGGCATACATAAAGAATAGGAGATTGAACAAACAGAAGTAAAACTAATCCCTCTGCCCCTCTACAGAATTAAAGAAGATGGTGACATGGAGGGAACGAAAGAATAGGGAAGGGGGAAAAACCGCACAAATGAAGAAAAACCAAAAGAAGAATATAGGTCTCACACAGACCCTGGGAAATTAGACACTGAGAAAACAGATTCTGGAACACAAACAATGAAGAGCCCCAGAATGACTGGTCACATGCAACAAACCCAGACATCAAGACATTAATAGAGAGAATTAAAAAAATTGAGGAGAGACAAGAGGAAAATAGGAAGGAGCTGATGTCAGAAATAACAGCAGTAAAGAATACTGTGAGGGAAATAAATAACAAACTAATAAGCATGGAAAGCAGAATTAGCCAAGCAGAAGAAAGAATCTCAGAGCTCGAAGACCAAAACACAGAACTAACCCAAACTGTCAAAAGCATAAAAAAGAAACTCAAAAAGACAGAACAAAACGTTCAAGAGATGAATGATCACTTCAAGAGACTGAACCTAAGAGTAATTGGCTTTCCTGAGGCAGAGAGAGAAACAGAGGCCACACTGGAACAAACATTTCATGAAATAACTCAAGAAAACTTCCCTCATCTCATCAAGGATGAAAAAATGCAAACACAAGAGATTCAGAGAACCCCTGCAAGACAACAAATTAGAAGACCAACTCCCAGACATATAATAATTCGCCTAAACAAAGTAGGTATAAAAGAAAAAATCCTAAAGGCTGCAAGAGAAAAAGGTCAGACTACATACCAGGGAAGACCAATTAGAATAGCAGCAGATTTATCTACAGAAACCATCCAGGCTAGGAGAGCTTAGAGCCCTATCTTCAAAGTTCTAAAGATAAACAATTTCAACCAAGAATAACCTACCCAGCCAAGATAAGCTTCATCAGTGAGGGTGAATTGAAATTTTTTCCAGATATCCAATGCCTAAGAGCCTACACTGCCACCAGACCACCTCTACAAGAAACACTTAAGAAAGTATTGAACACAGAAGAAAAGGAAAAAAGAACAACAACATTCTTCACAAGAGTACAGGCAAAAGATTAAAAATACACATGATCCAACTCTAAAACCAAAAGAAAGACAGCACACTAACAGGAAGAACAACAACTCTGTAAGAACATTATGACAGGGATCAACTCTCACATTTCAAAAATTAGTTTGAATATGAACAGACTAAATGCACCACTGAAAAGACATAGAATAGCAAAATGGATAAAATATCACCAGATAACAATCTATTGCCTTCAAGAAACTCACCTCACTAGAAAGGACACTCACAGATTCAAAGTGAGAGGATGGGAAACAAATTTTCAGGAGAATGGAACACAAAAGAAAGGAGGAGTAGCGATCTTAATCTCAAACAAAATACCCTTTAATATATCAAAAATTAAAAAAGATACAGAAGGCCATTACATAATGATAAAAGGTTCAATCCATCAACAAGAAATATCCATCCTAAACATAAGTGCACCGAACACAGGAGCACCAACTTTCATAAAGCAGCTCCTAGGTAAACTAAAAAAAAATATCGACTCCAATACCATCATTGCTGGGGACTTTAATACCCCACTCACAACCCTAGACAGATCATCAAGACAAAAAATTAGCAACGAGATCCGAAACCACAATGTGACTCTTGATCAAATGGACTTAATTGATACCTACAGAACCCTCCATCCAAAGACCACAGAATACACATTCTACTTATCACTACACGGAACGTACTCTAAGATAACCACATACTTGGCCATAAATCAAGCATAAGCAAACTTAAAAGGACCAACATTTTACCATGCACCTTCTAGGACCACAGTGGAATAAAAATAATCATTAACATCAACAAGGTCCCCCCCAAACCCACAAAGACATGGACACTAAATAGCACGATGTTAAACAACTTCTGGGTCAATGATGAAATCAAAATAGAGATTAAAAGATACCTGGAAACAAATGAAAATGAAGAAACATCTTACCAAAATCTCTTGGATGCCACGAAAACTGTAGTAAGAGGGGAATTTATATACCTACCAACATACATGAAGAAAATGGAAGGATCACAAATTAGCAGCCTAAGAACCCACCTAAAGAAGCTGGAAAAGCAAGACCACAAAAACCCTAATTTCAGCAGAAGAATCCAGATCACCGAATAAAAGCCCAAATCCAGGACATAGAAGACAAAAAGATAATACAAAAAATCAATGAAACAAAAAGTTGGTTCTTCGAAAGGATAAACAAGATCGATGGTCCCCTAGCTAGACTGACCAAGAAAAAAAGAGAAAAAAAACAAATAAACACAATCAGAAACACAAAAGATGAAGTCACATCTGATCCTGAAGAAATACAAAAGATCATTAGAGACTACTCTGTACACTTGTATGGAAACAAACTTGAAAACCTTTCAGAAATGGAAGACTTTCAGTCATCACACAACCTGCCTACAT